TAGCTGAAATTACGATGCAAGACTAATATCATAAAATTTCAATTGTCAAAATTTTTTCGAAGAATTATAAATCGCTATATAAGATATGTCGAATACAAATATTTCATTGATGAATTTCAAGCTCAAATTTATGAACAAACTCACTTCTTACGTTCATAAATTTGACATCTTACTTCTTACAAATATTTCATTGATGAATTTCAAGCTCAAATTTATGAACAAGCTCAAATTTGAACTGCTATTCCGATTTCAATATCTTGCAGGAGGCCAGAATCAAGGCTAGTACCTGCCAAAGGATGGGGAGATTCAATATATTCTGGTAGTGAAAGCCTTTCCAAAGCACGTTCAGTGAAATATTGTAGCTGATTCTTTGGCAAAGACAGGTTTACTATCCTCATCTTCTGTAACCTCCTTTATTGGAGAGTAACTTTCTTATGATTTATAAAATCGTAGTTTGAACAAAAAAAAAGTAACGTGAATGAGAGAGTCTACTTGCCGGAATAAAGACCAATGACAATACTAATTGGGACAAAACAAGCGACGGCAGGAACTCGACTTCAGACATTCTTACGGTAATAAATTAATTGTCGTCTTTTACGGCAATAAATTAATAGCTTAGCCAGCTATGTATGTTGAGCATTTTACTCTCAAGATTGAAAAAACAAGCTTTGCATAAATATCGATGATAAGGAATGATGGACTTTGTATAGCACCAGAACTAATTTATTCATGGTTTGACATTAATCATATTTAGATTTCCTGTTAGCACTAGCAGTGACAACGGTGATGACCGGTAGTTTATGAGATTTCTAAGTTTTAAATTGAAATATATAAACATGTGTGTTTGTAACATTTATTAAAAAACAATTTGGCATAGTTAGTTAGAGAACAAATATACATACACAAATATACGGTGAAGAGTTGTATTTTGATTCGTAATATTTTTTTTTTTTGTCAAATGAAGAGGGTTTTCTTCAGAAAACTCTAGAATAATGAATTTGTTGCTACATAAATTTAGAATAAAAAGAAAGAAAATTTGGTAAAAATAGACAACGATTAACAAAAAAAAAAAAAAAGCAAAACATGAGCAAAAATAAGTAGAAAAAAAAAGACAAAATAATTATAGGTAAATAATTGAGGAAAAATAAGTTCAATTAGCTTTTTAGCACATGCTTAAGCAATACATCTTTTTTGAGCAATACATCTAAATTTGTCAATTGTTCATATACATTCGTATCAAATCAACTAAAGCTTTACTTACCAACTAAAGCTTTAGTTGATTTATATGATGTATATTTTTCTGATTAATTCATAATTAGCTAACTCTAGAGTTGACCTTTTGTAAAGTCGGTAGTTTGATTATAATTCGTTGTTGAAGTGCAATGAAGAGTCAAACATTTTTCCATAGACATTTAGGTATTTTGATTAATTATTTTGCTATTCATTAAGATTAACTAAAGGGTTACCATTAATTAATTGGGTGATAAATTAGGTTCACCAAAGTCCAACCTAAAAAATTCGTAAGGTCGTGTCTTTGTTCAAAATTGACATCTCACGCAACAAAACCAAATTTAGGTAAACGCGCGTGGTCCAACACGCGCTTTAATAAAAATGGAAAATTTCAACTTTGGACTAACTCAGATCCAACTCGGATTCTTCGCTTTCCTTATCCAATACGGTCGAGTTTCGTCGCGTCTTTCACAAACTCTATATAAACTACAAATAAAAAAAACCAAAC